TATAAAACACCGTTTCAAATCCTAATAAAAGCTTTCAGGCCAAAGAGGTCTCCTTAATCAATAAAAAAAAAAAAAATATTAAAAACATTAATAAATTTGCAGAGAAATCTTTATGATCGGTTAAACATATGCTGTCAAAAAGGAAAATACACATCAGAACAAGAATAAGGAATTGTTTAAAAAGTTATAAAAAAAATAATATTATATATTTATTTATTAATTTATTTTATTTTAAAAAATTTTTTATAAAATTTTATCATTATTTAGTTTAAAACAGACTTTCTAACCTTTTCTGTTTCTGTGGGTGATTTTGTTTTGCAAAAGCTCTCAGAGGATATTTTAGAAAACTGGGTAAAAATATCTATTTTTTATTTAACTTTTTAATAAGTAATATTATATTATTATTAAATATTTTATATATTTTATAGTAGAAACTAATCGTAAGGCTAAAATAAAGAAAGCATATGAAAAGAGCATCTCCGCTCCTCCAAAACACAAAAACATAACACCTCCAAAAAATAAAAAAATATCATTTTCAACAAGTTCTCGAACAGTATTATCTTCTAATAATACAACCAATAATAATAACCTTCAACAATCTTTATCAGATGAAAATTCATCTTCTACTGAATCATCCGATGAAAGTAGTTTACTATTAATCAATAGTAGAGAATTTCAGTCTGCACCACCTATTAATGAAATCATAGATAATAATAATAATAATACTCAACAATCTTTTAATACAATTAAAGATAATAATACTCAACAATATTCTGGTGAAAATATAATCGAAGTTGATGATAATAATGATACTCAACAATCTTCTGGTAAGACTATAATCGAAGATAATAATAATACTTAACAATTTTCGGATAAGACTATAATCGAAGATAATAATTATACTTATCAATCTTTGGGTAAAAAATATTTAATTTATTTATTGTTTTTAAAAAAAATATATATAATTTTGAAATCTAATTTTTTTTTAAATAAAGGTATCTGAAATTGCACTTAATAATCCTATTTCGAAATCTAAAAAAATAATCGGTATATATATTTATTCAAATAGATATAATTTATAATAATTATATAATATTATACATATGTATAATAAATTTAATTTTTTGTATAGAAAAAAAAAGAAAAAAAAGTCCAACTCAATTAACTCGTTCAATGACAAAAAAAGATTCAACTAAAGAAGCTGCAGTGGTATTTAAAAAACAAACAATAAATCAAAAAAAATAAAAAATTAAATATGTAAGTATATAATATTTTTAATTATTAAATTAATTATTATTATATACTAATTTTATAATTAAAAACAGGATATATATAGTATACTTGGCATAATTAGCGTATATATTTAAATTTATTTATTTATAAAATGGTTTGGTTGCTAACGACGTAATCATAATTTATTTAGAAAATAATCGTGTATAATTATAAAATAATTTGATTATTAATGAATATATTTATGTTTTATTCAGAAAATAATCATGCTTCAATTTAATTATTATCAAAATATATTCCAGTTTATTTTTAAATATAATCATGAAGTTATCCAATTACTAATAAATATATTTATGTTTTATTTAGAAATAATCATGATACAATTTAATTATTATCAAAATATATTCTGGTTTATTTGTAAATATAATCATGAAGTAATCTGATTACTAATAAATATATTCACGTTTTATTCAGAAAATAACCATGATACAATTTAATTATTATCAAAATATATTCCAGTTTATTTGTAAATATAATCATGAAGTAATCCGATTACTAATAAATATATTCATGTTTTATTCAGAAAATAATCATGATACAATTTAATTATTATCAAAATATATTCTGGTTTATTTATAAATATAATCATGAAGTAATCTGATTATTAATAAATATATTCATGTTTTATTCAGAAAATAATCGAGATACAATTTAATTATTATCAAGATATAATCCGGTTTATTTATAAATATAATTATGAATAATCGGAATAGTTTAGGAGTATAAAATACATATAACACTCCGGAAAATGCTCATATATTAGGAGTAAAATATGATTAGTATCTGATTATTTTTGGAATATTTTTGAAAAACAGAAATGTTTCTGGAGTATAATTTAGTATAATAAACTAGAATATTTTCTGAATATTTTTCGAATATTTCTCTAATATTTCTAGTATAATAAACTGGAATGTTTTCTGAATATTTTTTGAATATTTCTAGTATAATAAACTGGAATATTTTCTAAATATTTTTTGAATATTTCTAGTATAATAATTCAGAATATTTTTGGAATATTTTTGGAATATAATTATATATATTTTTTTATAGGGCAATAATTAACTATTTTAATAGTTTAAAAAGATGCTGACCTAATTGAGAAACCTTTTCTATCTGACTTTTTTGTCTTTCAAGAAGAATTTTGCAATATTCATTTATTTTGAAGAAATTATAACGAACTAACAATATGTTATCATTTTTATCATATTTGCTATTATATGGCCTTTTACTTAGATAAATTTTTCTAAAATTGAAACTATAAAAATTACTTAGTAAAATATATATATATTAAATTAGCACTGCTATAGGTCTTCATATATAAATTAAGTATAAATATATATGCATAAAAGCTCTATATTGTCTCAGATGATATTGTCTTGGGTGCTCTTCTTTTCCATGGGTAGTAGCATATATTTACTGAATATAAGCTATCACTAATTATAGCATAATCATATTATAAAAAGTTATAGAATATATTCAACACCCACACCTCAAAAGCTCTAGAATGTCCAAGTGCTCTTTCCTCTTATGCAAGCAGTAATGAGATGTAGGATGGTTAATTAATACATGTGCATTACAAAATCCTGATAGAATATTTAAACTGTTCTTAATATCAATAATTTTATTGAAATCATTCTTTCAATCAAAAGATAGCCAGAAACAGTTCTTCCCAATAAGTTTCTAAACTTTAAAACTGAATTAGTAACAAGGAAGAACAATTTAATCTTGTATTTATGAATCAGTGGTTATTATAATACTTTGACTAGATTGGTTGTAATCAATTAAAACTATTATTACAGACAAACCATAAAAGTACTAACCATTATATTATTCAGAAGGAACATGGCCTTCTTATGCTTATTCATATTCAGTTTATATTTTTTCATTAGAACTTTTAATTCTTTTTTAAGAGTATCATGAGATTTTTGATTTGTACGTAATAGAAATATTTCAAAATAAAATTTATCCTAGTCTTCAACTGTCCAAGTTTGATAAGATTTTTCCCAATAATCTTTAAATGAATGATTGTTAGTAGAGTTGTTAATAGAGTACTCCAAGCTATAATAAAATATATAAACCACTTCAGTATAAAACTAGAGTGGTTTATATGTTTTATTATAGCTTGGAGTACTCTATTTAACAACCCTAATTTTAGTAATCTTTATTTATAAAAATTTTCAAATACAAAACAATAATATAGTAAAACCTCTATAAATGCATACCATTCCTATATATACGCTCAACCTCTGGCCCAAACATATACAAGACCTTTACAAATACACTTTTCTTATTATTTTCTAAATACATGTTGAAGTTTAGTCCCAAGAATTTATAGAGTTTCACTATAATAAAAATAACATATTGATACTTACTGAATTTTACAGTCTCTTTTTGGTTTGATAAAGATATAATTCTAAATTAGTAACTTAATAGTGGCATAAAAAATCAGCAGTCACAAGAAAATCATCATGCATAAAAGAATTTTATTGGCTGAAATTTATTAAATAAAATAATAAATAATAATAAACTTTAAGCGATAGTATTCTAACTATCACTAAGTTAATTTCAATGAAAGTTTTTTTATTTGAATTCTACGAATCTGTAGAATTCAAATAAAAAAAAATTCATTGAATTTGACTTGGTGAGTGTTGAGATATCTTCACACAAAGTTTTAAAAAATTCAAACCATCTATCAAAATAAGAGCTGTACCAAATTGTTATTAAACTTTGAGCGAAGATATCCCAACAACCACCAAGCCAAATCCGATGAACTTTTTTTTATTTGAATTCTAAAAATCTGATGAATTCAAATAAAAAAATGTTCATTGAAGGTGGGTTAGTGGGTGTTGAGATATCTCTACTCAAAGTTTTAAAAAATTCAAAACATCTAAACTTTGTGCAAAGATATCTCGACACCCACCAAGCCAAATTCAACAAACCCATTTGCAGAATTCTAATAAAAAAAAGTTCATCATATTTGGCTTGGTGGGTTGCAAGATATCTTCACTAAAAGTTTAATAACAATTTGGTGCAGCTTTTATTTTGATAGATGTTTTGGATTTTTAAAACTTTGGATAAAGATATGGCCATTCGAAGTTAATTTTTTGGTTAACATCACTTTCCAGAACTCTCGAAAGGGGGGGAGGGGGGCAAATAAACGAACATATAAAAATAATGAATTGACTTCAAGTTAAATTTAGTCTAAAGATTCTAGTTGAGTTGCTAATTAGGTCAGATAAATTTTATTCAGTAGTTAACATTACATTTCTATTATAAAAGAGAGGAGCAAAAATAAACAAGTAAATAATTAATTATATAATGTATTCATTCATCTGAAAAAACCAACTTCATACGTATATTTTTACAGCCAAAATTCTCATGATCTAGTGATCAGATCTGCATCATTTTTTAAAGTATGATCACAGATCGGAATTTTGGGTTTACTAATTCTCCAAGTTCCTATTGGCTAAATACGTACAAATTTTAAATAAATCACTGATCGGATGGCTTAAAAAATGTAAAAAAAGTATTGATTCGAATAATTAATTTGTAATTGTTATTTCTGCAAAAGTTAAATGTTTATTTAATTATTTCTTAATTCTTTTTACTCATTAATACTAGTTCGGAAGCTCTTTTTTCAGCAGTTTTTCTTGAATTGTTTTATCACAAACTGAAATAAACATATATGAGAGGACAGCCAAGTGGGAACTGAATTGTTTCTCATTTTTTTTAAAAAAAATTTTTTATATTTTTATTTTTAAATTCAATTTAATTTAATTTAATTTAATTTAATTTATTTTAATTTAATTTATTTTTAAATTAATTTAACTTAATTTAATTTATTTTATTTTAAATTATTTTTTATTTTATATTTGCCATAAAACTGTGAAATAGCGCATACCGTAAAATCTCGAAATAATGCGCAGGGGTGAAATTACAATTTTTTTGGCCCGAATTAAGCTTAATTCGGGCCAAGATTCGAAATAACGCCCATGCCCACTATCTTTCCTCTGTAGAATACTTAATTTCTCCTAAATTACTAGGCATAGGGAATTATTTCTAATTTCAGCCTGAATTAAGCTTAATTTAGGCCAAAATTCAAAACCACACCACATCACGTTATTTCGTAATTATACAGATTTTTTAATTTTTACTTTTTTTATATGTTCATTTTACCGGGGGACACTAAAGGGGAGGGGGGAGAGGTGATGTTAACCAAAAAATTAACTTCAAACGGCCTAAATAAGATGCAATTATTCTATATAATTCTACTCAACATTTTCAGAATTTTTCGCTCATAATTTAGGTTATAGGGGCAACCGTCCCATCAATTTGTAGATCATTACACAATTAATAAAGGCTTTTTTTATATTGTTTTACAATACTTTTTTAGGAAGCTTGTGTAACTTATTCCCGCTATGAAACTCAAAAATGCCACTAAGTAAACTTGAAGTATTCGAAGCGCCCTACAACATATTTCTTTAATACCTGTTAATCCCATATCCTTGTGCTGCTATCGTCTGTCAAAGTTACTATTAAAAAACATATTGCCAAAGGTATTTAAACTATTTAGTTTAACTAAATTCTACTTGTTGAATGAAAAAAAGGTAAGAGAAGTTAAAAGTAACGATTTAGCGAAGATAATACATCAAAATATATCAGTTTATTTTATTATTATACGTGTTTGCATAGAAATATTTAAATTATTAAAGAATAAAAGCAGCCTAACTAACTAACCAAATAATTTTTTTTTTATGTTTAAAGATATAATGAGAAGCCGTATATATATATATATATATTATACGAAGGTCATAAATGTTTCCGTTAGCAGAATAATTGTTACGTTGTAACGATTGTATATAATATTTAGTATTAGGTTTAGATTAGACAGTTTTATCGTATCAAAGATTATTAACGATCGTTAAAAATTACTTAGTTAATAATAGACGAATTAATAAATAAATTAAAAAATATTTATCTACTGCAACCGGGTTTAGGGCATTTATTACAGTATTATAAGCCAATGTACAATCTTTTTAATTAATGTTTTTTTGCTTCGTTTTCAATATATTTTTTACATTTAACCTACGATTTTTATTACGAAAATTCACGCTTTTGATTGGTTATCACCTGATCGGAGATTTTCGTAATTTGTATAACGACGGTCGCCCCTGGAGCTCGGTGTAGCTTATTTCTATCATTCTAGTTGTTTAGCAACATTAGTTTGCTAAATAGGTTTTTTAAATGAATCTATGCACTTGGTTCGTGAGTACTGTAAATGCAAATATTACACTAGTGTTTTATTTTAATTTGTGTGATTTTTTTTTTATTTACTTGACTAATTATTATTAATGCACAATTTGTGCAACATTAAATGTTTTCGCCTATAATGAAAAAATTAGCATTTAAAGATAAGTGTCGTGAGGATTTTATTTGTAATAAAAAATGTTATATATATGATATTTACAAAAATTATTGTATACATGAATAAACCAGGCGAATTTCAGCAAAAACCCTGCCCTACATCAGCTAACTAAATCATAAATAAATGTTTCTATGCTCCAACAATAACTTCTGATCATTAATTAAATAAATGTGTATCGCTCTACGCAAATTTCATTTATCGTAGTGATATTTATTAGGCTATGCATTTTAGAGATTTAGTATAGGTATGCAAATGTGTTTCCTGGTTTGCCTTTATTTGTTTGAATTTTTAAACAATTTTTCACGATAAAATTGGTCTCTGATTTTCAGCGCTTCTGGGTTGTTTGGTTCAATTTGCAATGACTTATTCAAATCTTTTAAAGCCTCTTCATATTTTCTCAACTTAGTGTATACTTTTGCCCGAAAATTAAGTGTAAATACATGGTCAGGTTCGATATCTAATGATTTGGTTAAATCTTTAAGAGATCCTTCATAACAAAACAACTCAAAATTCGCTTGACCACGAGATCTTAGTGCAAATGCATCATTTGGTTCTATTTCTAATGACAATGTAAAGTCCATTAGAGAACTATCATATTTTCTTGAATTATAATTAACTTGCCCTCGGGATTTGAATGCAAGTGCATTTTTTGGTTCTATCGCTAACGATCTATTTATATCGGCTATTGAGTCCTTATAGCGGTTTTGCATACTTCTCACTTGTGCCCTATATATCAATGCCTCTGCATCGCTTTTTACAATTTCTAATGACTTGTTTAAATCTTTAAGAGCTTTTTCATATTTATTTTGTCTACAGTGAACCTGGCCTCTAGCTTTCAGTGCATCTGTATTATTTGGGTTAATATGCAATGATTTATTTAAATCTTTTAGAGAATCTTCGTATTTTCCAAGTTTAAAATAAGTATATCCTCTATAGCCTAACGTTTCTGAATTATCTGGCACAATATTTAGTGATTTAGTCAAATCAAAAAGTGACTCTTCGTATTTCTTTAACATGCACAAAGTTCTACCTCTAGCCCTTAGTGCATCCGCATTGTTTCGATCATTAAGTAATGAATTATCAAGATCTTTAAGCGAATCTTTATATTTTTTCAATCTAAAGAATATTTTCCCCCGAATATAAAGTGTATGTGCATGGTCTTGTTCGATCTTCAATGACTCAGTTAAGTCTTTAAGAGATTTTTCATACCATCCAAGCTCAAAATGAACTTGTCCTCGAGATCTTAGTGCAAATGCATTATTTGGCTCTATTTCTAATGATTTAGTAAAGTCCACGAGTGATTTTTCATAGTTTTTTGAATTAAAATAGGCTTGCCCTCGAGACCTTAATGCAAATGCGTTATCTGGTTTTTCTTCTAACGCTTTAGTTAAATCACCAAGTGCTTTCTCATAGCAACCTAACATGCAATAAGTTCTTCCTCGTGCTATTAACGTATCTACATCATTTTGTTTAATCTCTAATGATTTTAATAAATATTCAAGAGATTTTTTATAATCTTGTAGCATACAGTACACTTCCCCTAAATTCCTTAACGTATCCGCATTATTTTGTTCTATGCTCAACGATTTCAATAAATCTCTCAAAGATTCGCTATATTTTTTTAACTTATAATTTGCATTTCCTCGAGTTCTTAATACATTTGCATTATTAGGGTAAATAGCCAATAATTTGGTTAAATCATTAAAAGACATTTCATAATTTTTCAGCATATAAAAAGTATTTCCTCGATACATTAGTGAATCTGCATTATCTGGTTCGATTACTAATAATTTATTCATGTCTCCAAGACACTCTCTATATTTTCCTAATTTAAAATAAATCTCCCCTCGAAATTTTAGTGCATCTGCATTATTTGGCTCAGTATTTAATGATTTAGTTAAATCATCGAGAGATTCTTGATATTTTTCTAATTTCAAGTAAACCATCCCTCTTAATCTCAACGCGTTTGCATCATCAGAGTCAATCTCCAATGATCTGGTTAAATCTGCAAGAGATTCTTGATATTTTTCTAATTTCAAAAAAATTCTTCCTCTCGTTCTTAATGTGAATGCATGATCTGGATTAATAACCAAAGAATTGGTTAAATCTTTGATTGATTCTTCAAATTTTCCCAATTCAAAAAAAGCAATGCCCCGAGATCTTTGTGTATCTGCATTATTTTGGTCAATGCTTAATGATTTGGTTAAGTCTTCGAGAGCTTCAGTATATTGGCCTAATTTCAAGAAAGTCATTCCTCTAAATTTTAGTATATCCGCGCTGTCTGGAGAAAATTTTAATGACTTGGTTAAATCTTCAAGAGCTTCCTTATATTTTTCTAATTTAAATAAAGTTATTCCCCGAAATCTCAATGTATCAACATTATCTGGTTCATTCTTTAGTGATTTAGTTAAATCTTTAAAAGATTCATTATATTGTTCCAATTCAAATAAAGTTATTCCTCGAAATTTTAACGCATCAAAATTGTTTGGTTCAATATTTAGTGATTCGGTTAAATCATCAAGAGACTCTCTATATTTTTTTAATTTCACGAAAATTATTCCTCGACATCTCAATGCATCTGCATTATTGGAATCAATAGCTAATGATTTAGTTAAATCTTCGAGAGACTCTTCATATTTTTCCAATTCAAAGAAAGCTATTCCTCGAAGCCTCAATGTATCAACGTTGTCTGGTCCATTCTTTAGTGATTTGGTTAGATCCTCAAGAGATTCTTTATATTTTTTTAACTTCATGTAAATCATTCCGCGAGTTCTTAACGCATCTGCATTATTGGAATTAATAGCCAATGATTTGGCTAAATCTCCAAGCGCTTCTTGATATTTTTCTAATTTCAAATAAGCCATCCCTCTCAATCTCAATGTGGCTGAATTATCTATATTAGTATCCAATGATTTGGTTAAATCTTTGAGCGATTCTTCAAAACTTCCCAATTCTAAGAAGGTTATTTCCCGAGATCTTAGTGTGTCTGCATTATTTTGATCAATTTCTAATGAGTTAGTTAAATCACCGAGAGCCTCTTCAGATTGGCCTGATTTCAAGTAAGCTATTCCCCGAAACCTCAGTGCCTCTATGTCATCTGGAGTAATGGTTAAAATTTTAGTAAGGTCATCAATAGATTCTGTATATTTTTCTAATTCTACATAAACCATTCCCCGAAATCTCAATGTATCAATATTATCCGGCTCAATCTTTAGTGATTTGGTTAAATCCTCAAGAGATTCTTTATATCTTTTTAATTTCATAAAAATTATTCCTCGAAATCTTAATACATCTGCATTATTGGAATCAATAACTAATGAATTGGTTAAGTCTTTAAGAGATTCATTGTATTTTCCTAATTTCATGTAAATCATTCCACGTGATCTTAGTGCATCTGCATTATTTGGGTCAATATCCAATGATTTAGTTAAGTCCTCAAGAGACTCTTGATATTTTTTTAATTCTAAATAAACCATTCCTCTTAATCTAAATGTGTCAGCACTATTTGGGTTAGCATTCAACGATTTAGTTAAGTCCTCAAGAGACTCTTGATATTTTTTTAATTCTAAATAAACCATTCCTCTTAATCTAAATGTGTCAGCACTATTTGGGTTAGCATTCAACGATTTTGTTAAATCTTTGAGCGATTCTTCAAAATTTCCCAATTCCAAGAAAGCTATTCCTCGGGATCTTAGTGCGTCTGCATTATTTTGATCAATTTCTAATGATTTAGTTAAATCACCAAGTGCTTCTTTATATTGGCCTGATTTCAAGTAAGCTATTCCTCGAAATCTCAATGCTTCAACATCATCTGGAGTAATATTTAAAAGTTTAGTAAAGTCGTCAATAGATTCTGTATATTTCTCCAATTCTACATAGGCCATTCCTCGAAATCTTAATGCATCTGAATTATCAGATTCAATCCTCAAAAATTTAGTTAAATCTTCAATAGATTCTTTATACATTTTTAATTTAAACCTAGATTGACCTCGGATTCTTAGTGCATGAGCATGTTCCTGATCAATTTCCAATAATTTAGTCATGTCACTTTGAGATTGTTCGTAAGCTCTTAACATATAATGAGCATAACCTCGAAATATTAATAAATCAACATTTTCCTGATCAATATCTGAAAATTTAGATAAATCATCGAGTGATTCTTTATATTTATTCAATTTTAAATAAGCAATCCCTCGAAATCTCAAAGTTTCTTTATTATCAAAATCAATAGCAAATGATTTCGACAAATCCTCAAGAGATTCATTATATTTATCTAATTTCAAAAAAGCCATTCCTCGATATCTTAGAGTGTCTGCATTATTTGGATCCAATTCCAATGATTCATTTAAATACTTAATGGATTCATTAAAATTTCCTGACTCGTAGCAATCCAGACCTTGATCACAAAGCTGTTTTGCCTTATTTGACATTAAGTCACCAAGAAAAATACTTTGAGTTATATCGAAATTCGCCGAATTTTCAGTTATAGGCAATTCGTGCGTTGATTGTGTGATATAATTTGTGTTTTGTCGTTGGTAAGAAATAAAACTTTCAGTTTTTACTGTTGATAATTTATCAAGGCTTTCTAAAATTTCAACTAGTTCTGGTCGTTGATGTGGACTTTGAGACCAGCATTTTTCAAAAAGCAAAACATAATCATCAGGCGTACCATCGATCTTTACTTCACGTTCACCTCTTGCAATCATTACGCCAACTCCAATTGCGTCTACCCCATTAAATGGAGGAACTCCACTAGAAAGTTCCCAGAATAATACACCCAAACTGTAGATATCAGACTTCTCATTTAGTTCGACCATTCGCTTTATATAGTATTGTGGTTCGAGGTATGCTGGTATGCCAAGCCCTTCTAAATTTGAAGAGACCAAAGAGTCGTTCATTTTTTTTGATAATCCAAAATCAGCAATCAAAACATTATTATCATTTATTAAAATGTTTTTAGAATGCTGAAAAAAAATAAAATAAAATTTTGCTTTTAGCAAAATATTTGAAAATTTTGTTTAACTTCAGAAAGAAAAAAAAGAATTCAAGTTCCTACTAAATCACGGTGAATAATCTTTTTCGAATGCAAGCATGCTAATCCGTGAGTAATTTGTTCCGCTATTTGAATAACTTCAGCAAATGAAATTTTATAAGTATCGTTTTCCCATTTGGTTTTTAAATAATCTCGTAAATTTCCACGGTTTGCAAATTGCAATACCATAATAGCAGATCTCGAATTTGGATCTAAAGTTATACAGTTATAAGTTATTAGTTTAATACAACTAGATGATTATAATGATAAAAATATAAGTTTTTATACCATAAGAAATTCCAAGGAATCTGTTGATGTTTGGATGAAAGTCAACGGTACGAATTTGCTTAAGCTGCATATAATTATTGCATAGCTTGTTAGATATGAATTACAATAATCAGAAAGGAATTATTCAACATTATGTAATATTACCTCATTAACAAAGTCTTTCGTTACCGTTACGCTTCCCCTTAAAAAACTTTTTAAAGCAAATTTCTTTCCAAGAAATTCGGCCGAATGAACGATACCAAAACCACCTTTAAATTTATTAATTTATTAAATTTATTAATATTATTAATATTAATTTACAATAAGGCTGATTTTGATAATTTTACCTCTCCCGATTACTTGGATGTTTTTAAAATCGGTATACTCAAACTTATTTACGTGACCCTCATCTAAAGCCTTATTTAACCAATCTAAATATTTTGGAAAATTTTGCGAATCTGGACTATGTCTATCACTACTACAGCTATTTGAAGAAGAATAGCGTCTAAGAGGAATTGAATTTATAAATATTCTGATTTGGTCATTAATTTCATTCTTCATCATGTATATTGAAAAAATTAGCGCATTAACATAATTTAAAAGTGAATTTATTTGCAAGTGGAAAATTGGCAAACTGTTAAAATCGAGTGATACATAACACAACATTTGTATAATTTTTGAATATAGAAATAGCCTTCCAAGGCAATTTTTTATGGACCTTTATTTTGGTCACTAAAAATGATAAAGATCATTATTCTTTGTTAGATCAACAATAAAGATCACTGTTCACATTTATTACATTTATTACCAAAATCGGTCAAAATTAGTCCAAATGGATATATATCTGATGTTCTGAACAGCTAGGATTGAGTCGGGCTATAGCCAATACGAACCCGATCAGAATTCTTTTGGGTTGGTCCGGTTAGAAACATTACAGCTGTTTTTGGGGTGGGTGTATAACATCAGATTACAATGATGATCATTATAATTTAATATATACGTAGTAACGTTCAAACTGCAATAACTCATGAATCAGCAAACCCACACAATTAAAATTATATTTGTCAGGTTCGTTATAACGTGCTTTTTAAAATAACGCCGCTCTTTTTTTTTTTTATTGTCCGGACATTGTGAGGGACTCAAAGTGATATCAAAATTCTACGTTTTTTTTATATACGTATAATAAAAACGTCAAAAGTGTTAGCTATTGCATGTCGTGTCACAATATGCACAGGAAATTAATTGTTACGTTTTTGTTGATTTCATTAATAATGCATCAAAAACGAGAATTTTGGTATCACTTTGAGCCCCGCTACGTCCAGACAATAAAAATAAAAAAAGAGCGTTATCTTTAAAAGGCACGTTATAACGAACCCGACAAATATAATTTTATTTGTGTGGGTTTGCTGATTCATGAGTTATTGCAGTTTGAACGCTATATGTTTTTACTGTCAAATTTTTAACACGTATAAATAATTAGGGTCGTTACATAAAATTGCAAATTTATAGTACATGTAACATAAGTTTAGTAAATAAAACTCATGCAATTTCCATTACGTTATATTAGTACTGCCAAGCAGAGCACAAAATCTACTATAAAATACCGGAGATTCCGGTAAATTAAGAAAAATTCCGACGCAATTTTTTGATAGTCGGAAATTTTCCGTTTGTTCAAGAATTTGACACTTTCTTACATCATAACTGATTACTACTATCGTTACTAACTCCGGTTATAGATCTTAAATCCCGTTTAATAAAAAGATCGCTGGAAAAATATCGGGATTCGTCATGCCACAATTTTGTGCGCTGCTGCCAAGGGAAAGGCCGTTCTAAAAATTGATCTCAGAAACAACTTTCATATGAAAAACTAATTTACGGAACCTTACTCAAAATTACGTAAAATTACACAAAAAATATAGTAATTTTACGTCCCTATTTGTAATTAGACTGATGTTGAACACCCTAAGCTGTTTTCATAAATTCAGTGATAACTTATAAAATTGACCAATAATTATTCGGCTGAATTCATTTCGAAATAATTAGTATTTTATAATACGTATTACTAGTCAAATATAATATTCATTGTGAAATAAAATTAGAAAGCTTGCCATCAGTGATGTAAGTTGGGTTCGCGCAATAGGCGCAGCATACATAGATTTAAATTTGCGCGTATAATAGTGATCTCCGTATATATAGCGCGCGTATAAATTTTTTTTTTTGTGCACATTTTTTTGCATTTGCGCCAATAAAATTTTTTTGAATTTATAACACTGCTTGCCATCTCAAGCAATGATTAAAGCTTTAGCAAATTTTTTACTAAGTTGAATTTCCTAGCAATTTTCATGTGTATACTTTTTTTAGGTGTCTAACTTTTTTTTACATTAACGTCTTAATGTATTATTTTTTTTCTTTTCAGTAATGCTTGTACGATTGTAAATACAAACAGAAATTCATGTGGTTTCAAAATAGGCTTCCATGTCAAAGATCGACAAAACATTTGCAAAGATCTCCACACTAGGAAAAAAAACATTTTTCCTATCAAGACTTATATAGTAAAAATTTATAAGCTTTAAAAAAGGTATTCAGAGATTGGTCAAATGCGGTCTCAAAGTGTATATGTTGTTGTTTCTTGCCTCAGATAGGTGCGTACGTAACCTGTCGATTGATTATCTGTATTGTCATCTGAGGCGCTTCAGTTACAACTTGAGGCATTATCATTATAATTTTGTATATAAAAGATGTGTTCCAAGTTGCTGATACATTAATCAGCCAAAGTATTTGTACTAATTAAAAATCCTTGGTTCAGAGCAAAAATACTTATTTGTACATCAAAATAAATATTAATTTTCAATCTAATTAAAAATTGATAAATTTCTAATATTACAATTAAGCAAGTTCTTATCTAACTTTTTATGCTAATTTTATTATTTTATTATATTATCGCGGTTTTAAAAACAGGGTAAAAAAATTTTCTGGGTGTACACTCGTATACTACCTTATCACATCGATAGAAGATTGATACTTGATTTACATGCATACGTAATTATTGTTTACCAAAAACAATTACACGCTTAATTGTTACAAGTGCAGCCGGTATACGAGTATATACAGTATATGGGTATACACCAAAAAAAAATTTTGCACCGATTTCTATTATTTCGAAAACCGCGATAAATAATATAAAACTTATTAATTTTTTTTAAAAAAATTATACATTACGTATTTTCGAGCAGTTTTATGAGTGTGTTACGAATGTGCATTACTGTACATATTCCATATATACCTTTAAAACTTTAGCTAAATTGAATCACTAGATATAGAGAAATTAAGCTCTAAAGTCTAGCAATTCAATAAAAAGTATTAAAAACTTTTATTAAAAAATTTGTATACTGAGTCGAGTTGTTAAGTAATAGTTAAAAATGACAAATCCTACAAAAGAATATCTTAATAAAAAAAAATAAAATAAAATTCTATGCTAATTATTTTAAAAAAAATAAAATTTTAAAATTATTTAAAAATTAGTTTTTTGCTGAAAATAGGTTTTTACTAAATTTTAGGGTTAGGGTACGGTTTTTGAGACCAATAGAAGAGTTATATAATGGTCTAATTTTTAGGTTACACGAAATTTTGGGGCGTTCTGGGCATTTTTACTTAGTATATCTAATCCCTATTTCTTATTTTTTGAGATATAGCACCCTGGATATGAATATCTCCTGGTAATGATTAAATATATTCTTATTTTAATTAATTAATTAATTAATTAATTTTATTTATTTATTTTATTATATATAGTCTTCAAAATTGCAAGTCTACTACTATGATTATACAGTCAGACCTCTTCTAAATATAAATTATTGTTGTAGCTGAAGCTAGAAATAGTTAATACTAAAAATTTCAATTATTTTAATATGAAATTTTTAAAAATTTTTTGGACTTTTTGTTAGGAGGTTTTTTTTAGGTTGGGTTAGAATTTAGAGGTAGTTTTAATAATAAAAGAGTATAAGTGAATTTTGTGAATTTTGTTAAAGTTTATATTTTAAATCAAGGTTTCTAATTTCTAGCTTCAGTTATTTCTAGCTTCAACCATGACATTAATTATCTAATCTATTAATAGGCTTAATAAATAAATACATATTCTTTATTCTGCAAATACATATTATTTTTATAGCCCATCTATATAAATTTCTTTATAAATGCATACTGCAAAATTATTAGCCAATCAAATCAAGATTTTGGTTAAATAATAGTAGTTTTAGACCTTTATTATTACTAAACCAGTGATAATATATTGCTAATATATTATTTTTTTTTCCCTTTGATAACCTCATATTAATTTATTAGAGTTTTTGTAATTTACAAAATTAACTATCTAATTTACATATTAGGCAAATACCCGGCTGCTATAAAGTGCCCAAGTATGGTTACCACACTGATGTTTGCCAACAAGCTTCATATACGGTGCTACCCATATTTAATATATTTGATTTTATATTTTCTGAAAGAGAATTTCTATTTGTACACATAGTGTATATATACAGATATAAAAAAACCAACAATTTTGATTAGAAAACCACCTTTTTGGCTTTTAACAAAAAAATTTCCTTGCAAAATTTTGATATAAACTACTTTCACCCCAATTCCAAACTTACCCTTACCCTAATTATAAGTAAGAGTTTAATTTTTTTTTGTAAAAATTGGTTTGATTGGCATGTTACACAAGCTTGTAAATCAATAAATTAGTATCTGTGTATAAACACTATGTGTAAATTAATAAATTTTCTTTCTAAAAATTTAAAAGAAAATACTTAATTTTAGATATTTTGATCAAAATATTCAAAATTAAACAACTTCTCTTAACTTTTCAGGAAATATAAAATCAAATAAGCTAGAATAATATATTTTTTATATGCTGAACAAGGTTTATTAATTGGTGATCCACTAGTTAACCAGAGAATAATCATAGTAAAATGTGACTCAAATTACTTATAAAAATTAGGGGTCTCCAAATATGGTGTGCGCATATCTAAAACTTTTTTTATATTAAGTTAATCACTTTTTTAACTTAAGAGACTTTTGTAAAGCTTGTCAAGACGCATCTAATGGTGGTTAGAGCGTCAAAATCGGCTTGGTGGATGCCAAGATATCTTTAAAAAACGTTTCTTTTACTATATAAACTTCTTTGCAAACAATAGTATTGTTTGCAAAGAAGT